TGCGGGGAACTCTGCAAAAAACGCATCTTCGCACGGGCAGCCCGTGCGTTGGCCATTTATTTGCATATTGCTTTTACGTTGCTCATTAGCGGTCGATTTTTGTAGAAAAAGTTGTGCCAGTAGTCAGTAGTGGAAAAATTTCTGATGAAAACCAGACTTTTGAGTAGAGAAATATTCAGAGAATGATAAGGACTTTGTCTACGTCCTCCTTCCTGGGCACCTGTCATCTTTTCCTTCCCAAACTTTATACCGGTTTTGTTTTTGTGAATTAGCTTAAAACATCTTTCTCGAAAAGGGCTTTCCAAGCAAGAAATGTCGTCTGAAAAAATGCAGGGAAGAGGCAATTAAGAGTTAGCAGTGCGAGAGCAAATACGATAAAAAGTGCCTAATTTTTCGCCTCTTTCTCTTTTCTGTTCCTCTATTTCTAAGCTTGCGCATTTGATGATAGCCTAAGGCATTGTACGCAGTGAATAAGAGCACGGCACGATTTCATTTCCTCCTCCTTGAAGGGGGAAAATTAGCTTGCCATCTTCGAAGTAATTTTGTCCAGCTTCGCATTACTTGTCATATGAAAGAGCTGCTTCAGCACTGAGGCATTTTGTATTTTTTAAGAAAAAAAACAAAATTTAGTGAGTCAGTGTTATCCACGGAATTTGATTTGTTCACGGATATAACTTCAGATCAATGTACGGGTGACGACCATGGATGCGGAGCTGGAGTTCGCGATTCAGCCGAGCACCACTGGTAAGCAGCTGTTCGATCAGGTCGTCAAAACCGTTGGCCTTCGTGAAATTTGGTATTTCGGGTTGCAGTACACTGATACAAAAGGCTTTCTCACTTGGCTTAAACTCAACAAAAAGGTTGGTGGTTTCGACGATAAACTACACTGTTTTTGTTCACCGTGTGCAGCGCGCAGTTTGCCTTGTACTGGATGCATGCGTGTGTATCTATGTGTCTGTGTGTTCGTGTGTGTGTGTGGGTGTATGTATGTATATGTACATGTGTGTATGTGCGTATATGTATGTGTTTTACAGTCTGTTGCATTTATCATATGTTTTTTACAGCTTATCCGAATTTCACGCCAAACGCTCACGTGAGCTTCACGCATACGAGCGTATGCGTGTGTACAAATACTTGCATTCAGTGCAAGGATGTTGCCAAATTGAAGGCTCTTTTCTCGTATTGTATAGTGGTAGACTGGGGGAAATCGTACGAGACAAGTTTTTATATAGCTAGTAGAATTGCCGCTATTTAATTATCAGAATTTGAAACGGGTGGCGGATTTTTCGGCAAAACTCGCATTCTTATGGGTTTATCTTGAAAATTTCGTGAAAAAAGTGATATTTTATTCCCAGCAGAAAGATGGATCATCGAAGGTATTAGAACTTGGTTGTGCCTTTTTCCCGCTGTCCTCCTAGCCAGTCGGTGTCAGGGTTGGTTTGGCGCTCTGTTTGCGGCAAGAGCTTCTCCTTGCCTTCGATGATCCACTGTGGGAAGCACATGTTTGTCTGTTTAGGTGACAGCACAGGACGTAAAGAAGGAACAAACACTATTGTTCAAATTTCGTGCCAAATTTTATCCGGAAGATGTTCAGGAAGAAATTATTCAGGACATTACTCTTGTAAGTTTTCCAGTGCCTTTTGTAAGATGAATCAATTGTGTGATGTAATACCTAATTGGCTTTTTGTATTAAGTGACCTTCAATTTTTTAGTTTTATTTGTTTTCCTACGATTTTTACACTAAATTTATTGAATAATTTGTTTGAATGGCTCTGGAGGAACAGTCGGTGAAGGTATGTAATAGCTTGTACTGTAGATCCGGGTTTATCGATGCAATTCAGTGTCTCTATTCTGTGACACTGCGGCGGAACAATATCGATATTTTCGATATTTTTTCATCGATATTTTCGATATATTTTGATATTTTCGATCTTAACTTTAGAAATATAACTACAAATCACAACAAATTT